TATGGAGTTGGGCTGGGAAGTTCTCCCCCACCCACCATATTCTCTAGATATGACACAATCAGATTACCATCTTTTTCGTTCGCTGCAACGCCATCTTAATGGGAAAACGTACGCAAATGTGAAAGGTGTTAAAGGGGACATCGACATGTTTTTGCTTCAAAGTGATTTCTTTAATCAGGGCATTAACAACCTAATTTTAAGATGGAAAAGCATCATCGATAAGAATGGAGACTATTTCATTTAATAAATGTTTTGTTTTTATATATAAGTTGTTCGGGTTTTTTCATCTAAACAAAAAGCTATATTAATTTCTTGACGACCTAATATTTCAATAAACATAAAATGTAGTTATGGTTTATAAGCCGAACGATGGCGATGCTTTAGAAACCACAACAACTAACATATGTGATAAAAATCACATAAACTGCAGATATATATACATATATTACATTCCTTTCGTTTGTTCGTTACGGATTCTCTCTAAATCAAAAATGTATAAATATAGCTATTTATGTATCTATTGTCTCCAACAAGTTAATCCTCAAAAGATCTTGCTTTCAATACCAGAACTTTTAATGTCTTATATTGTCTGTCCTCATTTTCATCTCCAGATGAAGAGCTCTTGTATTAAATGAAAGGTCTCTTGGGCAGTAACTTTTTGGTTTGTTTTGAATTTCGTGCAAAGCTACTCGAGGGCTATCTGCACTAGCCGTCCCTAATTTAGCAGTGAAAGACTAGAGAGAAGGTAACTAGTCACCACCACCCACCTCTAACTCTTGGGTTACTCTTTTACCAACGAATAGTGGGATTGACTATAACGCCCCCACGGTTGAAAGGTCTTCAGGTCATGTTCGGATTTTTCAGTATCTGATGATACAGCTGTAGTGGATACCTACTGACCCATGTTCACCTTAAACAGGGTTCAACAAACAGTAATAAATCACTTCCTTGTTTGGAGTAGATACTGGCAGCTTACAATCAATACACATAACACTAAAGCTATTCTGTTTGGTTCAAGTGAAAGGATAAAATGATATATCGAACATGTCGAAGTTATGATCTCTTTAAATGTTCAAATAGACCAGTGGTTCCCGTATAATTGAATAACACAGGTAAGTATTTGAGTGTTACATTCGATTAACATCTGAATATGGAAAGCTCATTTTACAACACCGAACTTCTGGGTCACACAATGTCTCAACCTTCTGCGGTGTCTGATCAACCGTTCATCTGGATTTATATCCATATGGATCTGGGAGTGCCAGATGCAAGCTTGATCTCTTCCTCCCTCTGCACGGGTGTGATGGGTGCACTGTTCAAATGTTAAACGCAACAAAAACGAGGGCGTTGATTTCACGATCATGGAACTTTATATGCGGTGCTGAGTGGAACATCACCCTGGGTCTGAATTAACCGCCGGGGGGTGGAGACAACAACAACAAAAACAAAACAAAACTGAGCTCCGTATGTTGGAACCGTGAGTGCGTTATAAGAGTGACATTCAAATCGCACTATTCGATTAGAGTAGTTCACAAGTTGATGGTAGGTGGTGTTGACTAGTGTATCACTTCAAATTTATGGACGGCTAACTGGGCACAGATTTCAATAACTAACAACGAGCGTCATAACTTATAAATAACTATCTCTTCCTCCTTTTATGAAAGACTTAGGGTCCTAGAACGACAAGCCTTCCGCCTGACCTTCAATATTAAGCTATCCAGTCTAAACCAGAAGTTGTATGATTGTATAACATTTCCCAATATTCTTCTCCAGTCTAACTCAGAAGTTGTATGATTGCATAACATTTCCCAATATTCTTCTCCAGTCTAACTCAGAAGTTGTATGATTGCATAACATTTCCCAATATTCTTCTCCAGTCTAACTCAGAAGTTGTATGATTGTATAACATTTCCCAATATTCTTCTCCAGTCTAACTCAGAAGTTGTATGATTGCATAACATTTCCCAATCTTCTTCTCCAGTCTAACTCAGAAGTTGCATGATTGCATAACATTTCCCAATATTCATCATCGTCTTCAGAAGCTTTGTATTAAATATATAACACCGACTCACAATGCCCCCAGTGGCACAACGGTATATCTGCGGACTTACAACGCTAGAAACCGGGTTTCGATACCCGTGGTGGGCAGAGCACAGATAGCCCATTGTGTAGCTTTGTGTTTAATTCCAAACAAACAGATAGACTCACAAAATCTTTCTTACCAACTCCTTAGACTCTCTGGTTCATCCTCCACAAAACTGCTTCCTCCTTTCGAGATGCATTAGATGTCTGGACATGTGACTTCATGTGTGAGAAACGTGCTTCCGTTACCTGAAGATCGCTTTCCTTTCTCACATCCCACTTACCTTCACAATTAATTAAATAGGTTTTGAAAGCATGATTAGCATCATTTCATAACATTCAGTTTGGAATCGTTTTTAGTGCTGCAAAATATAAACCTGTTCATTCATTATTCATAGCCACTATGCTCTGGAAGTTTACCTCATGGTCTGTTGGCCTGTCAGCCCTATGGGCTGGAATGAAATTAAATTGATAGAGGGGGAAGAAAACCTTTTTTGTCTTTCATAGACTAGTTCATCTGGTGACTTCAAGTATTGAATGAAAAACCTCTTGAGCAATGACTTGTGGGAGACAGAAGATAAATGTGAAAATTATTTCTACGAACTTCTAATTTAGAATCCGAAATACACAAATTAAGTAAAAACAATGTGCAGTTTGCCTTATTTTATAATGAAATGAAATATTTTATTACACTTGAATACTCCGATTTAAGTCAAAAACGTATTTGTTTGTCGTTGTTTGTCAAACTGAAACCACCAAACATAAACTGTAACTTTTTGAATAAATGAATAGATTTTTTATTCACGGTAATTTTTTTAAAAATTGGTAGTTATACTGGCCTATAAATATTTATGCACGATTGACGTAGACAATAGCATTATATTTAATGCAGTGAGTGTTTTGTGTGTGTCAAGCCAAAATATTTTTGATAGACATATACACTGTACAATTATCAAAGGTTTGCATATTTTAAAGACAAAAGCAAGTTTAGTAAGGATAACGGAATAAAATAACAATAATTGAAACTATAGTGTGAGTCATTTGAGGATTTGTTTGTCTGTTATTAATTAGAAATATTATTCCACCACCCCTAAAAATGGAGTAGCCCAAGAGTTGGCGGTGGGTGGTGTTAATTAACTGCTTTCTCTCTAGTCTATCACTTCAACATTAAGGACGGCTAGCCCAGATAGTCCTCGAGTAGCTTTGCGCGAAATTCCAAAAACAAACAAACAAAAGTTATCCCCCCCCACCACCAAAAAAAGAAGCTTATTCGAGTTAGATAGATGATAACGTGGTATACTGTCAAAACCGCGGTGGATGGTGTTAACTAACTGTCTTCCCTCTAGACCATGGGTCACCAAACTACGGCCCGCGGGCCGAATCAGGCCCGCCGCTGGACTGTGCTACAAATGAGCTGAAATATAATTATTTATAAGGAAATATCATAGATTATAGATAAACTTACTATGTAAAAAAATTAAAATAAGTGTAAGTAAAAATGTCCAAATTTGTCTAATTTGCTTTTTGCATCTGACAGTAATATAAGTTTTAGGAAAACAATGAAATAAAAAATTCGGCGACTTTTTGCGACTTGGATATCAGAGCGCTTCTTGTGTAAGTACCTGCAATG